ATCATCATCATCAGCATCATCATCATCATCATCCTCATCGTCAGCAAGATCATCATCCGCATCATCATCGTAATCAGCATCAGCATTATAAGCATCAGCATCATCACCGACATCATGACCATCAGCATCATCATCATCATCTTCAGCATCATCATCATCATCAGCAGCAGCATCATCATCATCAGCATCAGCGTCATCAGCAGCAGCATCATCATCCTCACCGCCAGCATCAGCATCATCAACAACGACAACCTCATCATATCAACAGCAGCAGCATCATCACCCTCATCAGCATGATCGTCATCAGCATCATCAGCACCAGCAGCATCACCGTCAGCAGCACCTTCGTCAGCATCCATCATCGTGGTCATCATCAGCAAGTTCATCATCATCATCATCCTCATCCCCATCATCACCACCAGCATCATCATCATCATCATCATCATCGTCAGCATCATCATCATCATCATCATCAGGACCAGCATCATCACCATCAGCATCATCAGCAACAGCAGCATCGGCATCGGTATCACTACAGTAAAAATCATCAGCATCATCAGCATCATCATCAGTATCATCAGCACCAGCAGCATCATCACCAGCATCATCATTGGCATCGTCATCATCAACATCACCAGCATCAGCAGCAGCAGCCGCAGCAGCAACATCAGCGGCAGCACCTTATCCTCAGCCTCATCATCATTTCCATCATCATCATCATCATCATCATCATCAGCATCACCATCCGCAGTATCATCATCATCATCAGTAATAATCATTATCAGCAGTATCCACGTCAGCCTCACCCTCATCAGCAGCAATATCAGCATCAGCATCATCACCGTGATCATCACCAGCATCAACAGCATCATCATCACCAGCAGCAGCATCAGCATCATCAGCATCATCATCACCATCATTGTCGTCAGCACCTGCATCATCAGCAGCATCATCGTCACCACCAGCATCAACACCATCAACAACAACAATATCATTGCAATCATCATCAACACCGTTTTTTTTTTTGTTTTTAACAAAAAAAAAAAAAAAAAAAAAAAAAAAAAAAAAAAAGCATGATCAGCAACAGCATAAGCAGCATCATCGTCAGCAGCATCAGCATCAGCATAATCATCAACATCACCATCATAAGCATGATCAGCATCCATTAGCAGAATCAGGATATGCACATCATTATCATGTGAGCTCCATTTTTCTCGAGGCCAGGTGGGTGCTAAGACGCCGATCCAGTAGCAGTTCGCCCGGCAGCCGGGACACAGAAAAGCCAGAGGCCGCCTTGGGAAACCTCAAGCACGGCCGCTCGACCTCTCCGAGACCTGTGCAGATCCGCAGGGAGGGAACTTAAAGGAGGGGGCGCTTGAGCCATCGAGGTCACGGACATACAAGTCGACACGAAAATGCAATGCCGCGGGACCCTGCGAAAAAACGACCCCTTTTGGCTGAAATGGGTCGTTTTCTCCGGCGGCACACATTCGTGAGGCGTGACCCCAAGGCGGCCCATCCCCGAGACATTAGCTAACAAAGGCGTGAGAAACACTTGGCATGTGAGCTCCATTTTTCTCGAGGCCAGGTGGGTGCTAAGACGCCGATCCAGTAGCAGTTCGCCCGGCAGCCGGGACACAGAAAAGCCAGAGGCCGCCTTGGGAAACCTCAAGCACGGCCGCTCGACCTCTCCGAATTTGCTCCAAAGCACACTCTGGCCGAAGGCCTGGATTATAATTATCCGAATGGTTTAGAGAGCGGGCGAAGGATCTTGTCAGCAAAACAGCGCACAAACGCGGAGCAGAGCCGTGAGGGATAGGGCTCTGCGAGCTTGCTATATTTAATGCCACAGGGATGGTTGTCAATGATTTCTACGTGCCGCTTGCCTGAGAAAGAGCATACGCCTCGGCCGCAACAGGTTACACAGAGGTGCCTGCACGAGAGGCGAGCACAAAGAAACCTGGTGCGCTTGCGCCAGGTGGCCCCCCAGGCGCAGTAGCCAGTGACACAAGTATCGATATCCTGGGTCCTGGCCAGGCTCTCGAACGCTTTCAAATTCCACAGAAGGCTAGTGTGGGGATTCTCGACGACACAAGGGATGCCTAACCTCCTGCAAAGGTCGAGGAGGCTGGAGGCAACTTTACACAAGCGATTAGCTACGTTGACGACGCGCTGGTCTGATGGGGAGAGGGAAGGAAGGCCGAAAGGAAAGGCCCGGGACCGAACAGGCGAGAAGAGGCACCGGAGGGCCGAGAAGGAGGAGCAGGGAGGAGCCAGCCAGACAGCAGCTATCAGACCAGCGCGCGCCCAAACCTCGAATTTTGCGAACGAGGCTCTCATTCAACAGATCGAAGTGAGCACCGTGCCGAATGTCAACTTCAATTATCTCGATGTGCTCCAGGGCGGCAGAGCGGCGCCAGGCACGAGCAAAGCGCCCTGAGCCTGAGAAAAGTTCCAGAGCAATCTGTCGCCCGCTCAGCGCAGCACGCCGGACGGCATCCTCAAGATGTTCGAGCCGATGCTGGCCGCAGCGGCGTAGGCCCGGCGCTGGACGGCCTCCGACGCCCGCTGCAGCTGCGTGGGCAGGAGTCCGCTCATCTCGTAGCGGCGCACGCTGCTGTCCGCCGCCCACCGCCCCCGCTTCTTGATCTCGGCGAGCGGGCGGGCGCGGGTGGCCAGCTCGTGACTGGCCCCCCCGTGGCGGAGCTGATACAGCGTGGGCGGTCCAAGGCCGCCGAGGCCCGCGTCTACCGCGGCCCGGGAGAACAGGGCGGCCCGGGTCGCGTACGTCAGGCCGAGCAGCGGCTGCGTTGCGCTGCGGCCGGCTCGGAGGCGGGTCAGGAGGCCTCCCACCCACCAGAACTCCGTGTTGTCGTGGCTCAGCGACACGTCGAACTCGCCTGTTTTGGACGGGGCGCTGTTCTCCGACGCAGTCAGCAGCAGGGCCCAAAGGGCGAGGGCTCTGGGCCCTCCCCGCGGCGGCGGGACGGCGCCCTTCACCCGCAGGCGGAGAAGCTCCGACGGCCGGGTGTAGAACACGAAGCACAGGAGCGTCGCCGCAGCCGCCGCCCAGTGGCCCCGGCCGATCAGCGCGTCCGCTATCAGCGCCACGAAGGGCCACGGGAGGGGCCAGCGCGACCGGTTGGGCGCCGCCCTCGAGAAGCCCAGGAGGGCCCGCCTCGCCCGCGGCAGCTCTGGCGCCTTCGGCGACAGGTCCTGCCGGCAGTACGTCAGGGCGGCCAGCAGGAAGGTGCCCGCGGAGCTCGGGAAGCCCTCGAAGAACTGCTCGTGGAGGTAGGCCGTCACCGCCGAGTCGAGCTGCGTGGTGTTGCTGGTCGCCACGTTGGCCGTCGCGCACCAAAGGTAGAACTGGCTCACGATGTGCTTGTACCGGTCCTCCTGAGGCTTCTTCACGGTGCGACTCTCGAGCAGGGTCAGGCCGTGCTCGTCGGTCGCGGGCTCCCCGCCGTCGGCTCGCAGGTTCGGCTCGATCCCGCGGGAGGGCGGCGGGCGGCCCGCTGCAGGCCTCTTGCGGCACCTCCGGCGAGCCGAGGGCGCGGTCACCGGAGGGGGCGGCGAGCTCATCAGAGGGGCCGAAGTCGACGCCGAAGGCCCGGCCAAGGCTGGCTGCAAAGGCGCGGACGCGGCGGTCACGCTGGCCGTAGGAGTCCCCGCCCAGCGGAGCATGCCTCGGCGCCGGCAGCGCGGCCGGCGGCGGGTCGGCTTCGCGGGGCCGGGTCGAGGCCTCAGCCCAGTCCCCCCTTTTGCGCCTCGAGCCGCGGTCAGCGGGGTTGCGCTCTGAGGGGAGCCAGCGCCACCGAGAGGTCATGTTGAAGGCCAGGTTGAGGCTGCCAATCTGCCGGCAGACTCTCATCAGCTTCGAGGATGATCGACCCTTGGATACGGCAAGGATGCTAGCCATGGCGTCTCCCAAGAACAAGTGGCGCTTCCCGAAAATGGCCAGGGACAGCGTCTTGTGGAGGTGGGCCAAGACCATGCTGCGGCCCTCGAGGATCACCTGGGCCTCTGACCGGGCCCATCTCTTAGCTAAGACACGGCGCCACTCGCCATCCCACACGTCCGAGCCGATGTCGGGCGCGCCCTCGGGGACCTCAGGAGCAGGACCGTCTATAGCAAAACCACCAAGAGTAGCCAGAGCAAGAGCGTGGTCCCGAGGTCGATAACCCAGCTCGTCTTGTCGAGAAAACCTCCACCTCTCGTTGAACCGACCGAGCGACTTGACGACGTCGACCGGCACTCTCTGCTGCACGATGCAACCCCCCCAGGACGACGCGTCGACGGCGAGGACATCTTCAGACCAGGCAGCCCCGAGATCCCGAGAAGCGAGAAGTATAAGCCCAGCGGCCCAGCCAAGCTCACGGCGAACAGAAGCCCACAGCCGGCGGCGACGGGGCCCAGCGTCAGCTGCGAAGGAGTAACATGCAGAAAACACGCATAACAATTCACGGCGTACAAATGCACGAGTCGTGTAGTGCGACATAATGACAGTTAGAATGTCCCCACTTGCGTACCCCTCAATGAGAATCTGCTGAATGGCCAATCTGATCCTCCAGGCGACCCGGGGGCTCAACCCGACAGTAGCATTCTCGTCCGAGAAAGTCCAGCCTAGTGCAGTGGTGCCGGGACCAGCCTCAACTGGATGAGTGGGAAGGTCGACCCCGCTCAACTCCTGCTGAACCGCTTCCGCCACCCCTCTGACGACTTCTCGATCCTTCCGAAGGCGAAAAAGTTGTCGACATACTCCGCGTGCGCGAAGGGCTCCAGGCTGGGAGGAGGAAGGTGATCGACGACAGCGTTCTTTTCTGAAGCGCCAGGCACCAGCCGGGCCCGATGCTCCAGTACCTGCTGACACGCCCAAAGAGAAAGCTTCCAACCCATCGGGATCACCTTCAGGACCGGGAAGAGGTATTGGCCTCGTCTGATAGCCCGGCCCTGGGCTGACGAGACATTCACCAGGTCGGCGCGGATCCGAGGAAGAACGAAAATGCCTCGAAGGGCCTCTGGTAACTGCACGTTGTAGAAAGCGTTTACGATATCGACCGAGCCGACCTGGATGGGCGCAGCGCTGTCAACCTCGATGGCGGAAAAGGCGGCCCCAGAGGCCAGCGAGACAGGGTCACCGTCGCGAAAATGGCACGATGGTAGCCGACCATCGACAATCAAACGATATCTTCCTGACTTCTTATATACGAAGAACAGGCCGCAAGAGACCTCGCCCGTCAGATGCCACTCGATCAGGTCACAGTCGGCCATCCTGCGCAGCAACTCCGCGCACAGGGCGGGCGACCGCTTGAGGGCGGGGTCGGAGTAAGGCCGAGCGGGCCACTGAAGTTTAGCTATCTCCCTGCCAGTGGATTCTGGCAAGCGCAATTGAATTAGTCGCTCAGCAATCTCTTTGCCCCGATCTCCAGCCAGATGCTCAAGAGAACGTGAGACCGACCCAGCAGCCGGCAAGTCGATCAGGTGGACGGCGTCCATGCTGAGGGGGGCGATCACGGCGCCTTCGCCGTAAGCACTCTTAGCCCGGAGCGCTCGCAGGGCTCCTGGGCCGCTCATGTCGTCCGGCGGCGGGCCCATGGACAAAACAGACTGGCGAATCGAGTTGAGACTGGCCTGCTGACTCGCCGAAGGGCCACGATTCATCCGTGGACAAGATGAGCCAAGGTACAAATCGTTCAACGCGCCGGCAATTTCATCGCACACCATATCGACGTGATTAGTGCGCTGTAGCCGACGACGAGTAGACCTGCCAAGATGTACAGCAGCTCCACTAAAGCCTCGATGCAAAACTGTATGGGGACGAGGAAGAGGCAGCAAGTTCCGCTGTCGCTCGTCTGCCCAAAAAGGATGGCTGAGAGCAGGCTGCCCCCCGGTCGCCAGTCCAGGAGGCCCCCCCCGAAGGTCGCGTTCGCGCCGGGGCTGGCTGGGAGGTCTCTCCAGCCCCGGAGGGGTGAACATCACCCCGACTCCTCCTTCCCCTTCTTGCCCTGCTTGGCCAGCTCCGCCCTCTCCTCTCGGGCCTTGCGGACCTGCTTGAGGATGGCGGCGTCGCGCTCGACCTCAGCCGCCACGTGGGCGATCAGGTCTGGGCGGACCATCGCCATGCCTGGGCCCTTGGTCATCCCTGAGAAGATGGCGGCTTCGTCGAAGACGGCGTGCTGGAGGGAGGCCGCGCCGCCCTTGCCCTTGCCCTTGGTGTTGGGCCCACGCGTGGCAAGGAAGTCCATGTGGTACACGTACTCTACCAATTGCGCCTTCCTGAGCAACAGCTCGATGGTGGCGCTGTTGCTGACGTCCACCATGTCGTAGCAGAACCCCTCGTCGAGGCACCTCATGGCCGTGTGGTGAACCTCGACGCCCCAGTCCGCGGACCGCAATCCGAAAGTCATGACGAGCGATCGGTGATGCTCGAGCGGCCCCCCTTGGCGCCTGAAGAGCCACACGCAGCACCACTTCACCGCCCTCGGCCCGGGCACGGGCCAATCGGGGAACGGCGACTCTCGAAGCTGTACGTCCGAGCTGGTGAAGCGGCTTCTCGCTCGATCCTTGGAGGCGATGACCGTCGCCTTGCTGATCCTGAGGTCGCGGTGGCTCTCCATCACCATGTACTCCTCCACGGGGTGCGCCTGCAGGTCGCGGACCAGCACGGCGACGCCTGCGGGCGTGGTGAAGATGCCCACCTCGCCTTTCACGACGTCCGTCGCCGACAGGACGACCGGGGTCCCCCTGGAGGCAAAGGTGGTCGACTCCACCGTCACCCACTGCGCCCCGGCCGCGGCAGGCGCGGCTCCGCCCGCCAGCGGGGCGGCCCCGGCCGGGCCTGCCGCGGCGGCGGGCTGGCCGCCGGCGGGCGCTCCCGCGGCCGGCGGCACGAACGGGACGAAGGCGCCGCCCGGCGGGGCCACCGCTGGCAGCCCGGCAGCCGCTGCCTGCTGGATGTACAGGTCGTCGGCGGCCTGACGGGCCTGGCCCATGAACGCGGCGAGCTCCGCCGCGGTCGGCTCCCTCCTGAAGCGGTAGGTCTGACCGCGTGCAATCCCTGGAGGGATGGTCCGACGATCCGGCGAGAACCTCACAGCCTGGTAGTCGGGGCTCGTGCCGTCCACCAGCTCGAAGTAGACGTCGGCATCTGGCGTCGCGCACACGATCAGAAAGTCATTGACTGGATTCGCTCCCGGCGGCTGCAAGTGGCCCAGGACCCGTCGCTGCTGCCATCCTTGGTCCCCGTTGTGCAGGATCCATGCCCAGAGCTGGACGGCTCCAGACGCCATGGCGGCGAGTGGTCCTGACGGTCAAGGAGCCGCACCAGCCGATCACGACGAGGATGCCCGAGGCCGCGATGGATGCGACCGCGCCTGCAAGGAGGTCCCAGAGACGCCCCGGGGCAGCCGGCGCCTCGAGCGTCGGGCAGGCCGGAGGCTCAGGGCACGACGCCTGCACTGGCGTAGGCGCCCCTGGGCACGCCGGGCAGCTTGGCACCGCCGGGCACGTCAGCTGGCAGGTATATGGCGGGCACTCTGGACAGGAGGGCGCGGCGGGGCACCGACTGAGGTAAGAGATGACGCCCGCTCCAAGCCAATCGGTCACACGGTTCAACATCGGAACCGTGCGCTCGCTTGAGCCATCGAGGTCACGGACATACAAGTCGACGCGAAAATGCAATGCCGCGGGACCCTGCGAAAAACGACCCCTTTGGGCTGAAATGGGTCGTTTTCTCCGGCGGCACACATTCGTGAGGCGTGACCCCAAGGCGGCCCATCCCCGAGACATTAGCTAACAAAGGCGTGATAAACACTTGGCATGACCATCATCATCAGTGCCAGCATGACCACCATCAGCATCACCAGCAGCAGCATCATGGGCATCCGCAGTATTACAATATACATCATCATCATCATCATCATCACCATCAGCATCATCATCATCAGCATCATCTTCAGTATCATCATCATCATCATCATCATCATCAGCAGCAGCAGCAGCATCAGCATCAGCAGTATCATCAGCATCAGCATCATCAGCATCAGCATCAGCAGTATCATCAGCATCAGCATCATCAGCATCAGCAGCATCAGCATCACTACCACCATCACCACCACCATCATCATCATGCCCACCATGACCACCACCACACGAACGCCCCATGCAGTTACCCAAAGCGACGAACACGCCAAGGTTAACGAATGTGAGAGACCACTCCGAAGCTAGATTGTTCTTAACCCTCGTTAAAGGTGTAACCCCAGCAGGAGGAAGGAGGAATAGGAGAAGAAAGGGAGGGAGGGAAAAGGGGGGAAGGAAGAAGCAGGGGAGGAGAGAAGGGAAAGGAAGGAAGAGGGGGAGAACTAGGAGACAGGAGAAGGAAAATGCAATCAGGAAGCGATGAGAGATGTATGCGGATAATGATGGTGATGGTGTTGAAGCGCCCACAAGCGTTGAACGCGACTGGTCTCTTCTCCGGCCAGGTGGGACCCTTCACCAACAAGATGGGACCCTTCCCTGGCTCATCTGTTCACTGGCTGATTGGGTGTTTCACTGGCCACGTACTTCAATTGAAAGTTACAAGCAGTGTCTGCATGCGAGCCACCTGAGCAGGGGCAGCGGGGGCGTTCGCTCAGCCGATGCAGCGGGGGCGTTCGCTCGGGAGTGTGCCCGGGAGGCTTCTGAATATATCGACGCGCAGTGTGAGGGGTGCTACCCCGTGCTGATGTGTTGGCAGGCCGGTGAAGAGACAGTTTCTGGACCTGTACCACGGTGGCAACCACGGTGACGCCGCAGTTCGGGGGAGGAGGAGGGGGAGGAGAAGTGATGGATCATAAACGCATCGATCGAGCCCACGCATTGGAGAAGATCCCTCCATCCGAGGATAGAAACGCATCTGAAACGCGAAGCTAATACGATCCCTGCCTTCTAAGACGTCGTTGTCTTAAAGAGGCTCGATAGAAGGCTCGATAGCAGGCTCGATAGGAGGCTCGATAGGAGGCTCGATCCCTGGAAAAACGTAGAAACCCCAGGGAGGCTCGATAGGAGGCTCGATCCCTGGGAAAACGTAGGAGCCCCAGGAAGGCTCGATAGGAGGCCCTGAGAAGACGTAACAGCCCTGGGGAGGGCTCGAACCCTGGGAAAACGTAGGAGCCCCAGGCAGGCTCGATAGGAGGCCCGATCACTGGGGAAACGTAGGAGGCCCAGGGAAACTCACTAGGAGTCTCGATCCCTGGGAAAACTCAGGAGCCCGAGGGAGGCTCGATTGGAAGCTCGATCCATTGGGAAACGCAGGAGCCCCAGGAAGGCTTGATAGGAGACTCGATCCCTGGGAACACGTAGGAACAACAGGGAGGCTCCATAGGAGGCTCGATCCCAGGCAAAACGTAGGAACCCCAGGGAGGCTCGATAGGAGGCTCGATCCCTGGGAAAACGTAGGAGCCCCAGGAAGGCTCGATGGGAGGCCCTGGGAAGACGCAGCAGCCCCGTGGAGGGCTCGACCCCTGGGAAAACGCAGGAGCCCCAGGGCGGCTCGACAGGAGGCTCGATCTCTGCGAACACGCAGGAACAATGGGGAGGCTCCATCGGCGATCGATAGGGAGCAATGGAACACGCAGGGAACATGGGAACGAACATCTCTCGATACATCGGCGATGCATCGGCGATGCATCGCCGATGCACCGGCGATGAGGCGTCGACGTCGGTGATGTATCGGCGACGTCGGCGTGGAGAAAATCGGGCTCCGCATCGAGCCGCATCGTCGATGCATCGGCGATGCGGCGCGATCCTCCGACCCCATCTACTCGGATCCCATCTAGGAGGCCTAGAACACAGTGACTCAAAACTCCCCGCTTCATGCGTACACACCATGGAAAGGAGAAGATCAAGGGCGAGACCAGGCTGGACCTCGGGCTCACGAGAGCCAGGCGGAGCATACGCCGTCGCCCAGCCTCCAGAAGCCCCCCTGCGCAAATGGCCACTCGAGGAGGAAGAGGAGCAAGAGAAGGTGGAGGAACCGGGGCAGGAGGGAGCATGAGGAGAAGGAAAGTTGCGCCGGCCTCCATGCATAGTGTTTCGGGACAGCGGTCCGCCGGGGGAAGAGCAGGAGGAGCTCGAGGTGGAGGAAGCTCTTGGGCTGCAGCCCGTCTCGCCTCCGTGTTCAGGTCCTCCAGGTCCTGCTCCAAGCCACCGATGATGCCGGACCGCCTCTCATAGCGGCAGGGGGAACGGGAGGGGGCAGTGACCGCCCTCCTTCCCTCCGCGAGGGAGGTCGGGGAGGCGGGGGAGCAAGTGGGAAGGGGGCTCGCTTGACATCGTGAGCGCGAGCGCCCCAGTCCCTCGTCGGAATCGTTGGGGGGTGGGGTGCTCAAAGGCGCGCACGCGCAACCCGGATCCCAGCCCCCCGACACTCGCCTGGTCTGCGCCAGAGTGGGGGCCTGGCTCCGCGAATGGCGGGGGGGGGAGGCTCGCTCTGCGACTGGGGCGGCACCTCGCTGCGCGCCTCGGTCGCTGCTGGTGCGGGCGGGGGCCCAGGGCCGAGGTGTACGCAGCTGCGTCCCATCGGAACGAATCCCGATCGGGGGGATCGCGAGGGGGAGTCCCGATCGGGGCGCCCACGACAAGATGATGCAGAACCCCCCCTGGGGGGCATGAAAAGAATCCACGTACGGGGCACGAGGGAAAATGTACAGGGGAATTTTCGACGAAAAATGAAAAAAATACCCCAACCATGCCCCAAAAAGGCAAACAAATATTTTAAAAATAGTCCCCAGACTATGTTCGGACTATTTTTCCCAACCATCCTGTGGTGTTGGGTCCTCGTTTTGAAGAGACGGCCCCCGCGTCCCACCTCCTCTCCTCCTCTCTCCTCTCCTCTCCTCCTCTCCTCTCCTTCACACCCCTCACACGTTTCGTGGCCCCATAGGGAGCTCCACCGAAGGCCCCATGGCTGCCGTCCGCATGCGTCCCGCACACCCATTTCGGCACACCCCTCACACGTTTCGTGGCCCCACAGGGAGCTCCACCGAAGGCCCCAGTGCTGCCGTCCGCATGCGTCCCGCACACCCATTTCGGCACACCCCTCACACGTTTCGTGGCCCCATAGGGAGCTCCACGAAGGCCCCAGTGCTGCCGTCCGCATGCGTCCCGCACACCCATTTCGGCACACCCCTCACACGTTTCGTGGCCCCACAGGGAGCTCCACCGAAGGCCCCATGGCTGCCGTCCGCATGCGTCCCGCACACCCATTTCGGCACACCCCTCACACGTTTCGTGGCCCCACAGGGAGCTCCACCGAAGGCCCCAGTGCTGCCGTCCGCATGCGTCCCGCACACCCATTTCGGCACACCCCTCACACGTTTCGTGGCCCCACAGGGAGCTCCACCGAAGGCCCCAGTGCTGCCGTCCGCATGCGTCCCGCACACCCATTTCGGCACACCCCTCACACGTTTCGTGGCCCCATAGGGAGCTCCACCGAAGGCCCCATGGCTGCCGTCCGCATGCGTCCCGCACACCCATTTCGGCACACCCCTCACACGTTTCGTGGCCCCATAGGGAGCTCCACCGAAGGCCCCATGGCTGCCGTCCGCATGCGTCCCGCACACCCATTTCGGCACACCCCTCACACGTTTCGTGGCCCCACAGGGAGCTCCACCGAAGGCCCCAGTGCTGCCGTCCGCATGCGTCCCGCACACCCATTTCGGCACACCCCTCACACGTTTCGTGGCCCCATAGGGAGCTCCACCGAAGGCCCCATGGCTGCCGTCCGCATGCGTCCCGCACACCCATTTCGGCACACCCCTCACACGTTTCGTGGCCCCACAGGGAGCTCCACCGAAGGCCCCAGTGGCTGCCGTCCGCATGCGTCCCGCACACCCATTTCGGCACACCCCTCACACGTTTCGTGGCCCCACAGGGAGCTCCACCGAAGGCCCCAGTGCTGCCGTCCGCATGCGTCCCGCACACCCATTTCGGCACACCCCTCACACGTGGACGTGGCCCCATAGGGAGCTCCACCGAAGGCCCCAGTGCTGCCGTCCGCATGCGTCCCGCACACCCATTTCGGCACACCCCTCACACGTTTCGTGGCCCCATAGGGAGCTCCACCGAAGGCCGCTGCCGTCCGCATGCGTCCCGCACACCCATTTCGGCACACCCCTCACACGTTTCGTGGCCCCACAGGGAGCTCCACCGAAGGCCCCAGTGCTGCCGTCCGCATGCGTCCCGCACACCCATTTCGGCACACCCCTCACACGTTTCGTGGCCCCATAGGGAGCTCCACCGAAGGCCCCATGGCTGCCGTCCGCATGCGTCCCGCACACCCATTTCGGCACACCCCTCACACGTTTCGTGGCCCCACAGGGAGCTCCACCGAAGGCCCCAGTGCTGCCGTCCGCATGCGTCCCGCACACCCATTTCGGCACACCCCTCACACGTTTCGTGGCCCCACAGGGAGCTCCACCGAAGGCCCCAGTGCTGCCGTCCGCATGCGTCCCGCACACCAGGTGTGTGGCGTGCCGACATGGGCGTCGCGGCGCGCGGGCGCTGCCGTCGGGGTTCCCAGGGAAGCCCCCTGCAGAGGCGACGCTCAGAGTCACGAGTACCGAGAGTCACGCAGACCCAAACTGTTCACAGTCGTATACATACATTTACACTGGGCGTATCCATGCACGCATTCATGCGAATAGAATCAATCGCGCGCAGATTCATTCATAATCAGACTCGCTCGCGATCCGACTCGCACGCGCTCAAGCTTTCATATTCGGACCTATCGTCTTCGTTCGTGTTGTGTACACTGCCACGCATTTCGGCACACCCCTCATACGGCTCGTGGCCCCATAGGGAGCGCCACCGAAGAAGAGATTCACAATTGCGGTACTCTCAACTGCATATGGTTGGGTCCTTCGCCAGGCTAATTTGATTATTTTGGGAGTATTTCCCAACCATCCTGTGGTGTTGGGTCCTCGTTTTGAAGAGACAGCGCCCCGCGTCCCACCTCCTCCTCCTCCTCCTCCTCTCTCCTCCCCCTCCCCCCTCCTCCCATCATCATCATCATCATCATCATCATCATCATCATCATCATCATCATCATCATCATCATCATCATCATCATCAGCATCATCATCATCATCATCATCATCATCATCATCATCACATCATCATCATCATCATCATCATCATCATCATCATCATCATCATCATCATCATCAGTCATCATCATCATCATCATCATCATCATCATCATCATCATCATAATCATCATCATCATCATCATCATCATCATCGTCATTGTCATCGTCGTCATCGTCATCGTCATCACCCACTTCGGCACACCCCTCACACGTTTCGTGGCCCCATAGGGAGCTCCACCGAAGGCCCGAGGGCTGCCGCCCGCATGCGTCCCGCACACCCATTTCGGCACACCCCTCACACGTTTCGTGGCCCCCAGGGAGCTCCACCGAAGGCCCCATGGCTGCCGTCCGCATGCGTCCCGCCCACCCATTTCGGCGCACCCCTCACGCGTTTCGTGGCCCCGTAGGGAGCTCCGCCGAAGTCCCAGTGGTGTCCGCATGCGTCCCGCACACCCATTTCAGCCCTCACACGTTTCGTGGCCCCTGGGAGCTCCACCGAGGCACACCCCTCACACGTTTCGTGGCCCCACAGGGAGCTCCACCGAGGCCCAGCGCTGCCGTCCGCACACACCATTTCGGCACACCCCTCACACGTTTCGTGGCCCCCCTCACACGCCCCCATTTCGGTGGCGTTTCGTGGAACCACAGGGAGCTCCACCGAAGGCCCCAGTGTGCCGTCCGGCCGTCCGCATGCGTCCCGCACACCCATTTCGGCACACCCCTCACACGTTTCGTGGCCCCACAGGGAGCTCCACCGAAGGCCCCAGTGCTGCCGTCCGCATGCGTCCCGCACACCCATTTCGGCACACCCCTCACACGTTTCGTGGCCCCATAGGGAGCTCCACCGAAGGCCCCATGGCTGCCGTCCGCATGCGTCCCGCACACCCATTTCGGCACACCCCTCACACGTTTCGTGGCCCCATAGGGAGCTCCACCGAAGGCCCCATGGCTGCCGTCCGCATGCGTCCCCGCACACCCATTTCGGCACACCCCTCACACGTTTCGTGGCCCCACAGGGAGCTCCACCGAAGGCCCCAGTGCTGCCGTCCGCATGCGTCCCGCACACCCATTTCGGCACACCCCTCACACGTTTCGTGGCCCCATAGGGAGCTCCACCGAAGGCCCCATGGCTGCCGTCCGCATGCGTCCCGCACACCCATTTCGGCACACCCCTCACACGTTTCGTGGCCCCACAGGGAGCTCCACCGAAGGCCCCAGTGCTGCCGTCCGCATGCGTCCCGCACACCATTTCGGCACACCCCTCACACGTTTCGTGGCCCCATAGGGAGCTCCACCGAAGGCCCCAGTGCTGCCGTCCGCATGCGTCCCGCACACCCATTTCGGCACACCCCTCACACGTTTCGTGGCCCCACAGGGAGCTCCACCGAAGGCCCCAGTGCTGCCGCCCGCATGCGTCCCGCCACACCCAATTCGGCACACCCCTCACACGTTTCGTGGCCCCATAGGGAGCTCCACCGAAGGCCCCAGTGCTGCCGCCCGCATGCGTCCCGCACACCCAATTCGGCACACCCCTCACACGTTTCGTGGCCCCATAGGGAGCTCCACCGAAGGCCCCAGTGGCTGCCGTCCGCATGCGTCCCGCACACCCATTTCGGCACACCCTCACACGTTTCGCCCCATAGGGAGCTCCACCGAAGGCCCCAGTGGCAGCTCCACCGGGCCTCACAGTGGCATAGGGAGCTCCACCGAAGGTCCCGGTGGGTCCGCATGCGTCCCGCACACCCATTTCGGCACACCCCTCACACGTTTCGTCGCCCATAGGGAGCTCCACCGAAGGCCCCAGTGTTGCCGCCCGCATGCGTCCCGCACGCTCATTTCGGCACAGCTCTCACGCGCTTCGTGGCCCCAAAGGGAGCTCCACCGAAGGTCCCAGTGGGTGTGCCCGCATGCGTCCCGCACACCCATTTCGGCACACCCCTCACACGTTTCGTGGCCCCACAGGGAGCTCCACCGAAGGCCCCAGTGCTGCCGCCCGCATGCGTCCCGCACACCCATTTCGGAACACCCCTCACGCGTTTCGTGGCCCCAAAGGGAGCTCCACCGAAGGTCCCAGTGGGTGTGCCCGCATGCGTCCCGCACACCCCTTTCGGCACACCCCTCGCACGTTTCGTGGCCCCATAGGGAGCGCCACCGAAGAAGATATTCACAATTGCGGTATTCACAATTGCACATGGTTGGGTCCTTCGCCTGGATAATTTTTATTTTTCGTCGAAAATCCCCCTGTAGGGGGACAGGCCCGACTGAAGCCTAAGTGGCGCCTCGCCGCGCGACGTGGCCCGCGCGGCTGGGCAACGCGCGCGCGCGCGGGCGGGGCTGCCGCGCGGGGGGGTGGCGCAACTGCGACGCATCGGCCGGGGGCTCGCTCTGCAACTGGCGTTAAGTCGGGCCTGTCCCCCTACAGGGGGATTTTCGACGAAAAATAAAAAATACACCAAAAATCGTCAAAAAATAATCCAAAAAAAGTCTGGGGGCTATTTTTGGAATATTTTTGGACCTTTTTGGTGCATTTGTGGGTATTTTTTATTTTTCGTCGAAAATCCCCCTGTAGGGGGACAGGCCCGACTTAAAACTGGCGGGGGTCTCGCCAAGGGCCAAGGGAGGCTGGCCGAGTGCAGTGCCAGCTGCGCTCGCCCCATCATGCGTGCTGGCGCAGGTGCGAAGCTGGAATCGGTCCCGGGGTCGACGGGCCTTGGGATCCCGGCAGGAGCTGGCAGGCCACCATCCCTTGAGGAATGCACTGCGGCAGAAGCTGCGACGGTGATGAGTGGTCTGAGGTACCGACAGTGCGCGCTCATGTCTGCTGGTCTTTAATATGTTGTTCGCCTCGTTCGGTTGACTAGAACTACGCTGCAAGCTGGGAAAACGGTTGACCCCTGGGTCAGGCGCACGAGACTCCCTGGTCCGAAATGTCCGTTCTGGCACGTTGGATCAAGAGCCAGGTTGCTGACAGAATACCCAGTCTCATGCGCAAATAATCATTGTGCTAGCAGCTGTCTGTGAATCATGGAATCGGTGCTCCGCTGGGCGTCGTGGTATGGGTGCAGCGGTGTGTAGAAGCTGTTGTGTGCGTCGTCTGTGTCACACGACTCGTTACTTGCCGCGGCCAATAGCCTGCACATGTCGGAAGGGTAGGTCTTGGCGGCCTCGTTTCTCCATGTGCCGTCTTCGCTCCTTCCCAGCAGGGGGGGGTCGTCGGCCGTGGTTGCACCTAGCTCTGTTGGGTGTCGCGAAAATGCGCGTTGCAACTTCCAGGGTGTTACTGCATGGTAGATTTGTCGGCTGTCTCTGTATCTGTCCCAGCATGCACTGGTCGAAAGTTGTAGACTTGCCGCTCGTCGTCGCGTATCGTCTATGGGTACTCCATGATGGTGGTTATCGCGGTTGCGAGCGCCAGAAACGGAAAGAAAACGGTGACTCCTACCGAATTATTGCCGAGGTTGTGCTGTTCGTATTCCCATTCCGACAGATACCTAAGTCTCCAAGGTCGCTCTCTGCTCCGCAAGGGGCGTGGTTGACGCTCGGCATCTGGTAGTTCCCGCGTGCCTGCAGCGCTCCATGTTTCGCAAGGTGGGCTGGCTACAACCGACACATTCGCCCATGGCGATGGCCTCAGCTTTAAATGAAGATGCTGGTTTATGTGGGAACGTGCTAAACATGGCGATGGGGAAACGATTCGCGCAATTGCCAGTCACCGCAATACCTTCCACATACCAATACATGCTAGAATCTAAACACCTCCTCACTCACTCTCTCCCCGTCCCTCCCTGCCTCCCTCCCTCCCTCTCCCATATCCCTCCTTTCCTCCGCCTTACTCACCTCTGTTCCCTCCCTCCCTTTCTCGTCCTCCTCCCTCCCCCCTCCCTCAGCCCACCCCTCCCTCCCTCCCTCCTCGCCTCCTCCTGCTTCCCTCCCCCTCCGGCGGCCCTCCCCCGAGCCCCCATCATTGGCGTGCCTCGCGACTGCCTTCTTCACCGGCTCCATGCTCTCATCGCACCTCGCCCACCGGGCTCCCGGCGAGGGCACGGAGGGGGGGGGGCCGGGCACGGTGAGCAGGAGAGAGGACCCCGGGTGGAGGGGTCCAGACCTCCTGCGGGAGCCACGGCTGCGAAGACCAAGTCACGAAGTCGGGGGCGTCACGCGAGGAGAAGGGGGTGTCCCCGGAGCATCTCAAGCGTCAGAGTGGCCTCCCCGCGGCAAGCCAACCTTCGATGCCTTCGACGCGGCGAGAGAGGGAAGGCCCGCGGCCAAACCCTCTCGAGACAAGTGTCCCCGGGGAATAAACTGCCCTCTACGTGGTTACCCCTCGAGCTCGCCGAAGCGCAGAGACGGCGATCGCAGGCCTCCACGTC